AGGATCAACCCACAATTCCAGTTATTCTCATACTGTCCCTAAATTTTAAATCCCCTGAACTAAACAGAGGAGACATACTTTGTGTTATTTTTATGCATTACAGGGCACTTCCATCGAATTATATCAGTGCCTGGAATGACTCCAAAGAGATAAATAAGGGACCCAAAGACTACGGGGGAGGGTTCAAAGCCCTGTATATCCTGCAGTAAATCCCTTGTAGATTGTTGCTCCCGCACATTTAAGGTTCCTCTTCAAAGCCACGGCGCTTTACCAGCACGAGAGCAGCACGAGACAGAGCCGGGGGCTTCCCTTATGGCTTTCTGTCTGTCTCTTCCTTTATCGTCTCACCAGCATACCAAGAGAGGCTGCAGAGTACACAATTTTCAACCCACTTCCTGCGCAGGATTCAAGGCTGTGCTTTTATGTGTGAAGGCCATCTAGGGAAAAATAAGGGAGTAGCAGAAAAAAGATGTGAGATGAATCAGATGCATCCAAATGAAGCATGGTCCCTCAGAAGTTGCGAATGAGGCGTTTTAAAACATGACAAGATAAGCCGAGATTATCAGCCGTGATTTGGGGGTCAGCCTTGTATCATTGGGTTTCAAAGGGCTGTCTTGCGGTTTGAGCCGTGATGGAAGAGGTGAGCCTCTCCTGTTCTTTTTCTGCCTCCTCCTATATGCACTATGCACTGTAATCGATCCAAGCCTGCTGGCCAGAAAGACAGATAGGAATCAGAGCAGGTAGTATGAATACTACTGCACGTGGCCAAGCCCATTTGTCTTCATATTTTTCACGTCAGGGAAAAAACACCCACTGCACTTTCTTGAACTTCTCCTCAGACCATATTTCCAACATATTTCCCTCCTCAGCTGTGATTATACCAATAGTCCATGGCGTTGCACATTCGATTTTGACACAAAAACAGAAAACCCCCAATGAGGTTGATAGTTCGTTCTTGACCTTGGAAATAGTAGTTTGCCAAAAATATCTCTACTTAAATCTTTCTAAGTAGAGCAAACTTCGTTGAGGAAGACTGTGAGACAGAGTCTTGCATGGGGCCCGTTAATATAAGACCTGCGTTCCAACCTAAAAACCTTATAAAAAAATTATAATTAAGTGTAACATGTAGAAACATTAATTAAAATCATAACTAATTATTGGCTGAATCAAGCACCAGCTGTTGCTACTCACTATGCTGCTGCTGCCTACACAACAAGCTGGGCACTGATGTCGATTAAGCTCTGTGTCAGTTTGCTCAATCCATCCACGCAGGTTTAAACGATCTGATGTCCTAAACTTTATAGCGCTTTGGCGGACTGAGAGTTGTGTTATTGGAAACGTTTCTGTTAACTGGCGCAGCACCTGTCCTCCTGCTGCAGCTGTATGTTTCTTCAGAGGATGTGAGAGCTTGCAACTTTAAACAATAAAATATATTTTGTTTTGTTTTGGCGGGTTACCCAGCCCGGTACAGGACTCTGCTGTGAGATGAGGTTAAAAGCTCAGAAAAATCTATTGAGTTTCACTTGTCGAGAGTTAGTCAAGACGATCGATACTGCTTATATGTCAGCATGTTAACAACAGGGCTTGAGCCAGGTCATGATTAGCTTAACTCAGCATAAAGACCCAGTGTGACTCAACCACAGCCCCTCCAAAGCTTGAAAAACATAATTCATGGTTTTAAAGGGAGGAAGCTACATGCTGTGAGTATTTCGTGGCCAAGAACGGTGACTTCTTATGATATTATGTTGCTAGGCAACCAGCAAAGATGCTGCTCAAGTACCTGGCAAAGGTTATTTCCAGTAGGGTAGGTGTCAGGACTGAACTTTCATGTTCAAATGGGTTTCTCTGTTTCTGTGCCATTGTTTGTCAATTAATACATACACTGTGTAGCCCTATCTAAAACCACACAGTTTACATTTCAGCTTATTTATAGATTAGACAAAGGAGAAACAATATGTTAATTAGCTAGCTTTAGAGGTGCTGGGCATATTTTTCAAAGGAAAGCCAGGCTAGCTTCTCCCTCTTGCTTCCAATCTTTATGTTAAGCTAGACCTGTTGCCTCTTGGTTCTCTGTTAAAGCAACATTATGCAACTATTTTACCTATAACAGCTTCAAAATAATTACCAGGGTTATTTTCCCAGGTTTTAGAAAAGTTCCTCCAGAACCACAATAGACATTATACAACTACTGAGTAGTATCCCCCATGATGAGTCAACTGGTGTTCATGTGTACAATTGTTGGAATGTCCCCTTTAAAACATGGCCTTTGAATATCCTGCGAACAGTTCATAACACAGTAGTAATTAAGAAATATTTAGAATCCGTCAAACATCAGGGCTTTGTTACTTTCATCAACACATTAAGCATTTCCATTATGGGAATCTGTCATAATGATTAATGAGCATTCAGTTTCATATTCCTGCTCATTTTTCTATGCCTGTATCATTGCCTCCATATGTTTCCAGCCTGAGAAAGTCAGTATGGCATCCGTCCAACAGTCTAATCTTGTTCACTTATGAAGTGAATATCTTCTAATGTGCTGAAATACTGATACTGTTCAGAGTTGATTTTAACATGTTGTGTACATGAAACATGTTTGCCTGTTCTTATGGGCATGGCACCCCCTCTTAGCTGACCTTTGTACCCCAAAGTTAAGGAGTTTGCTATTTATTGTGGCTGTAACGATTTTACTCTGATTTAAATCTCTTTCTTGTTCATTCTCATGTTTATTGTTCCATGTTTGTCAGTGGTAAGCCACACTAAATCAGATCTGTCAGTGCAGTGCCAGCTAAATGTGGTTGTGGTGCCGGTAGTGGTGTGCCAGCCAAACATGTTGTTCTAATGTCAGTCTATGCTGGACATAATTTACTTAGTCGGAATCCAAATCCTGCTAATTTTTAAGGATCTGCATATTTGAACAGGTATTGTGTTGTGCACATGTCTGACAACTAAGCCCATCCGTTATAATAACACTACCCTGAAATCAAACGGAATGGCCTAAAATAAAAAAAAGATGTGCAGGAGAAATACAGTGGCCTGACCTTTGTTGTATCTCGCCCAACGGATGTGGACTTGAGCCAGAGTATTGATGCTGCAGCTGTTCAGTGTGTTCCTTTCTCTTGATGAGTTCAGTGCAAATGTGTGACATTATACCATTTGTCTGAGGAGTTTATTTTATTTGCGATACAATTTATGTCAAACTCCTTTGCTCCTGGTCCAAGGCTAACGGCGACAGCATTTGCATGTGTAAAGAATTATATCAAGCGGTTCCAGTAAAACTTCCCACTGGTGCACACACTTGTTATGGAAAAAGTAAGCTTGGTTTTAATTGTACTTCTTGCTGCTGTGGACAGTGGATGTTATGTTTGTTAAGGTGGTGGTTTTTCTAGCATGGTCATTTTAGTGTGCTTACGGAAAGGACTTAAAGGCTCTTGCGCTTTGCTGATCAACAAAATATGTCTCAGCCTTTCAATGTAAAAACAAGAAATACTCAAGCAAAAACGATACTGCCAAACTGACTATAAAGGAGTATGATTAGCTACAGTAATCACCCCTCAATTATGTCTGTAGACTCATTAAGCTGCTGGTCACTTTGGGAGAAATTGAGAGAAACTGAAGTGGCTTTTCTTGGTTTGGAAATTCTAATAGCTCCATTGTCTGGGACCTGAAAAAAATGACCACACTAGTGAAAGACATGTTAATCCCCACAACATGTTGTCCACTAAAACTGGGTGCAGCGGGACCACAGCCTGTAGTCAGTTCACCCAAAACAAACAACCAGCATATTTTCCCACTTACCCCCAATGGTATAGCCTTGCAGAGAGTTTTGGCTTAATTTCCCAAGGCTTTAGATCTCTGCATGCAGAGAGAAACATCAAAAATTACATTTGTAAAACTTAACAGCATGTCTCTCTCCAGAAACAATGACCTTTTATTTTATTCAAACTGTAAACAATGAGTAACCTGCTAGGAAATCTTTCATTAAATACAAAGTGACTCTTACAGTACATTCAAAGCTTCCAGTTTCCCTCAGTATAGGATCTAACGTTTCTCTCTTGTTCGAGTTATATGCATTTTTGTGGCACTGATGCACATAAAGTAGGGTGAAGTTAAGAACTGATGTGGACTAGAAGGTGTGAACTGGTCTCCAAAGACCTCTAACCTGAACATAACAAGGGTTTTATTTGACTTGTTAACTCTTAGAATTTTAATTTTGTGACCTGAGGTGCGTGGTGCAACTGTGGTGGATGGAATGGAATTTGAAGGAATGCAATTACATTGGGTATATATAAGTCTGGGTAGGTGGTGACCAACAAAATCTACTATGTTCCTTCACTTTAACAATGGTGCCCTCTGAAACACAGCACTGTGTAAAAAAAATTGTAAAAATACTGTAGGTCATCGCCAGAATCACCACTGTCAAATATATGCCCCATATAATTAAATTAATTCTGGAGGAGATGACACATTGGTCCCAAGAAGACCAATTGGCAAATAAAATGGTTCTGTTTCATGACATGATATGTTATAAACTGTTTGTCAGGATCAGTGTGGCTCGGGTTGGGGTGTGACCATCTCTCCAGAAAGTGGCCATGCTGAAGAATATGATTAAGGGAACAAGTGATATTGTATCACTGTATACCTTTAGGCAAATATATCAATGTCAGATATAAAAGGCAAAACATTTTTTGTGTTATTCACAAAAATTGTAGTTCTACTAGTATTTTAATGGTATTATTGTTTTGGGCTTTTATTGCCTTTATTAGATATGAGCAATTGAAGACAGGCAGGAAAGTAGGGAGTGACAGGGGATAACGTGAAGCAAAGGGCCACAGCTTGCAATTGAACCCAGGTTGCTGCGGTAAGGACGTGGGGTGCACACTCTACTAGATGAACTGCCCAGCTAGGCTTTTGAAGAAAACCTGCTCATGCTTGGTACTGTAAAGCCATGAAAATGAAACAAAACATGACCGCACCTTGTGACATGCAAGTCTGACATAATCTGCACAGGAGAACAATGCAACTGCAGCCACGCTGGCACCAACATTGCACTGCTGTGCTTGATTCTTATCATCAAGTCCTGGTTGGAGTCACTGTAAATGACCTCAGTACAGACCTCAGTCATCAAACTGGTCGAAATGAATCTTTAATTTACCAAGTTGTTGTTGTTGCTGTTTTCCCTCTTGATTGTTGTTCGGCTCAATGTTTGTACTATGTGCGGAACGTCTGTCTTTGGGCAGCAGCTCTCGCTCTTTGGAGGTAGACCATTAAATTAGCTAAATAGAATGCCAAAAATCTACAAAAAAACAAAGAAACGGTAATGGACTCAGCCAATTACTGATATATTTGTCCAATTGCCTAACCCTACAACCTACCACATGCAGTGAAGTGGTTTGGAGCTCTGTGCACCCCATTGGAAAAGGCCACTTCATAAAGGCAAAGTTATGTCAGGCACCATACATTCCTACTAAGTGTGACCCAAGGATTGCATTTTTTAAATTTGAGAAGAGCTGTTGATTTAAAAGTCTAATATGTCACTTAATTAACCACCTTTATTGGGATAAATGTACAATGTAGAAACTTGCAAAAACCCAGTAAATGTTTTCACAGATTGAGTAAATGCATGTTTTTCCTCAGCACGTGTATCCATGCAGCAATGATAAGGAGTGCAGTGTGGGAAGCTACTGCCACAGCCCTCAACAGGCTCCCTCTCGCTGCCTCACCTGCCGCAGGAGGAAGAAGCGCTGCCATCGAGATGCCATGTGCTGTCCTGGGAACCGCTGCAGCAACTGTACGTACTTAACACACAAACACTATTTCAGTGGATGTCAGTTTCAGTCAGATTGTGTCTGCAGGGTACGACTGAGAAATCAGATTTTTTGTCTTATGCAGATATTCTGGAAAAAGTGACTTGTTCCAGGTCACTGAACAAACAGTACCCAAGTATCTAGCCCAGAGACTTAGTGAAGGAGCCAATACATTTAAATAATGTTGAACACATGCTTTCACACAGGATCCTGAACTATAGTCGAACTGTATTAAATTGATGCCCAGAGGTTAGGAATCACATTTTGGAAGGTGTTTCATCAGAGTGATCAACAGTATGAATGGCATGAATGTGGGTTTGTGCTGAAATTGTTCTTTAAGTTTTTTTAAATTGACATAGTAGACCAACAGATACAGGAGGTTACCTGCCTTCACAATTGCAGTTAGTTCTTCTGAAAAGAATTTAGCTTTTCACAAACACAAGCTACTAACATATTGATATGTTCTTTTAACTAGCCAAGTTTGCCATCATGTTGCATAAACTTTTCTGTAGTTTCTTGACAAAGTTAAGCAGGGTTGATATTCTTTTTCTGTCATGTTGGCCCTTCATATTTTTCTCTTCTTTTTCTGCCTGTAGATATTTGTGTACCTATCTCCGAGAGTGTGCTCTCACCTCACATCTCAGCTTTAGATGAGCATAACAAACTCGCCAACAAAGACCACAACTGGAGGAAGAGTGGGAAGGCACAGGCTAAGCTTCCTCTTAAAGGTAAGATTCAATTGCATATCTCTGAGGTTATGTTTAAAACATGTTCACTGGAAACCCTGCCATCTGTGAACACTGTCACTGTTGTTTTTCTCTGATCTTTTCTGCTGTCGTCCTCATTGAATCTGGTCTGGGTGCATGAATCTTTCTGTTGTTCAGTATCTGCATGTCCTACAGAGTTCATGGGCGATGCTAGTCCACAAACTATGTTGATAATTACCCCTCTGCTCATATGTCAGTGTCTGTGAGCCTAAAGCACAGCATGGGGAGCCTAGAAGAAACCACAATGCCCCTGGTGTTTCTGCACCTACATAAAGCCATACAAACACTTTCATTGACAGCACACATTGAATGATACACAAGTGAAAACCACAGAATGCAGGTTTGGCACGATTATAGCTAATAAGTCTCTGAGCCCCCCACTTAGCATTCATGTTACCTTATTTAAGTTAAAGTAAAGGCCTATCCATAAAGCAATACGTTTAATGAGACACTTAAATTACTCAACTCTAAATGCACCCTCAAGGCACCAGGCTGTACTGCTAAAATCAATGTGAAAATAGCAGCAGTACTTAAAGTTGCTATAAATACGTCCATTTACTTTATTCGTGCTTGACTCACTCCCGCTCCTTAAACATTATTACATTATAATGGCCTTATGCAAGTCGCTGCTTGAGAAAAGAAAATCAGTCGTGTTAAAGCAATGAACAAGCAGTCAGGCTTAGCAGTCCATCACGCTGATGGTTGGAACTTCTTATTGAAATAGCTAATCAGCAAAGTGTGGTTTTGTCAGCGATACAGGACGACTCTGTTTGAATAGTGAAGCAGCTTTTGGCAAGAGGTGACACACATTTAAAAGTGTTTCTGAGAAAAAAAAAAACCTTCATGACTTAATTGTACTAATTATACATTCATGAGTAATGCTCCTGCCAAACATATCAGACCTAGACCAGATGGGACGATATGGTTAATATACAGAATAAGCTAATTGTTTGCTTGATTTATGTTGAAAGCTCCATGCATTTCTTTTGTCTCTGGCATGGCCACACATAATGCAATCTGAATTGAAACGTGAAGAAAGGGTTGCATAAACTTATCCGTATGGAAAACATAACAGCTTAATGAACAATAATCGTACATTTCCTCTGCCTTTTTTATCTGGAGGACTATAAGATGCTGAATGGTTTATAATTTCGTGCAGGTCTCTCTCTGACGAAGCATTTGTTTCAGTTTTTCTAAGTAGACCAAAGCCAACTTCGTATATTGTTTGGTTATGTATTGTCTGCTGGTTCACCACTGATCAGTACTGTTTTTTTCTCTTCCTCTGTTAGCGCATGAGGGCGACGCTTGCCTGCGTTCATCCGATTGCTCTGAGGGCTACTGCTGTGCCCGCCATTTCTGGACCAAAATCTGCAAGCCGGTGCTGAGGCAGGGAGAGGTGTGCACCAAACAGAGGAAGAAAGGCTCTCACGGCTTGGAAATCTTCCAGCGCTGTGACTGTGCCAAGGGCCTTTCCTGCAAGGTGTGGAAAGACGCCACCTCCTCGTCCAAGTCCAGGCTCCACATGTGCCAGAAGATTTGAAGTGGAGGCAGCTGCTGTAGGCGTAGAGGCCTCTGTCTCCATCTGCCAGGGAAAGTTTTTTAAAGGATGGGTTGTGGCTGTATTGAAAGGAGCAAAAGACAGAGACTAACAAGAGACAGAACAGACTGTGTGGGTTCAAGCTCGCTATTCGGCAGGCGGACAGCAAATGGGATTGCTTTAATGTGTTTGCTGTGAGTGATCCCTCCTTGCACCCACAGACAAACACGCACCCTCACAGACACAAGCACACATACACCTCATGGGTTTGTGAGATCAATGAACTCATGATGTGCTTGCTCACAAATACAACAAACTTTTTACACATTTTCATGACATTCAGGGAGCCACAAAGTTAACCAGTAGATGCTGTGATAGGTGTGGACATTTTCTAGATGGAGGCAACAGACGTAGCAGTCTTTCATCAAGCTTCAACTTATAATTATAAGACAGATAAACTATTTACAGACAAGCCATATTCTTACTGCATAGTACATTCTTTACTAAACTCCAAAGTTAAATATCAGACGTGTAATATCCTGTGTTTCATCACTGGATTTGAATTTTGCCATGATGTGTTGTCTGTTTTGTCAAATTTCAATATCTTTCTCTTCACATTTCATTCACGTTCATGACCAGACCCACCAAATGCCAGTCATATCATACAAGGAACTAATTGCATACACTGTTTACTCCAGAGCTCGACTTGTGTGCTGTAACAGCATCCTGAGACTTCAATGCGACGCATAATACTCCTAAACCAAAGAATGCAAGAACATTTACATCAGTGATGAGTTTCATCTGGGACATTAGTTCCTCGCCCGATTTTTAGCCACAAGAAGAGAGATAAAGTATTGTGTCCGTTGTGGTAACCTCGTTTGATCTGTCAGATACAGCTGCAGTCTATTGTGATACAACTGTGTGGGTTAAAATAGTTTGCTCTGAGGTAGTGCTCTGCTGCAGACTTAGTGGTTCTGATACCAGACCGAGAATGGTTCTGCTTTTCCAATCACATGAACAGGATTCAAGGATACGATGGAAGTGCAATTTTTTCCTTTAACAAAGCCAGTAGGAATGGAGACGTGAGAAGATTGATTAGAGTAACAAAAATTCTCCATAAACCTGATGTTTTCAGAAAGAATTGCAGTTTGAATGAACATTTTGTTGATGGCACACAGCCCCGTTTATTTTCCTGTTTTTCAAATATGACTGCATACTTTCTTCTCATGAAATACTGTGCAGTTTTGTTGTAGTTGAGGTGAAGCAAAGCTTTTTCCCCCCAGTACAACTTCTTTACACAACCACTTGTTACTTACATAGTCAATATATCACATTTGCCTCTTTTTGCTTGTCTTTAGAGCAAAAACTACACATATTTTGTAACCATTTAAAATATCCATAAGCTCTTATATTGTAAATAGATTGGAAACAATGAAAATGTATTTAAGAATTAATGTATATCATGTACATATAATAAAATATGAATCTTAAACGTTACAGCAAAATGATCTAGGCGAGAAGAGTAATGGTTGGCGCAGTTGGATAGATTCAGAATAATGTAGTTGAAATGATAAAAGCTGTGTGTATAGGCAAAGGGAAAAGGCATAGATAGCTTTGACTGATATTCCAGACTGGATGCATCAAGAAGGTAATTCCAAAAGGAGAGACAAGCACATTAATTTCCAAAATAGTTTGTGTAAATGGTGTGTAAATGGTGTCAAGATTTATATCCCACTAAATATTGTTTGTGTCAATACTTTGCATTGATTTGTTTTGTGTATTTACAATGTTGAATGAATAAAAGAATGTATTTTGTATCATTGGTTACATAAGACTGGTTATTACTTGTTGCTTGTTATGTTGAACCTTTATATTGACACGAGTTAAGAGCCACTGTAATTCGTACATTATGCATTATATTATCATTTAGTATAATAAAATGAAATCAACAAAAAGGTTCACTGACTATGAGGACAGTTTGGCTTGTTTCAGACATGCAGAACAACATCATTTAAACTGCAAAGTATCTTAGTTTCTTAGTGGACATTAAAGCACCTGAAAACTTGGTTTTAGATCCTAAAGGCGCTATGTGAAGTTTGTTTTGTAAACAAAGTTAGGTTTATATTCAGTGTTGTTTTAAAAAAAATTAAAACCATATCCATATAAAGTTCCATGTAGCCTCCATTGCCTAAGCATGATACAAATTAACAGAGCTCTCAAAAGTAAAAATCTAATGTCAACTGACCATATAATCCAAGCTGAAATAATCATAATTTAAAGTGTATTTTAGAGACGGACTGCTGCAGTAAATCCTGAAACAGTTCAAGGGTCACCGAAACCACCAACCGTGTCTGCATTTGGGATTTTTTCATGAGTACAAATAAGACTTCATAAGAGCCATTACAGGCTGATGCCTAACAGATGTGTAACTATAGACAATATGCTTTCATATGCAGTAAAAATGTGCAGGACATCTTTGGTTAGGTAAAGACCACTTACATGTTGCTAGTGGTGCATCTTATACGTAGAATATGATTAAATAGAATTTTTGCAATTCCTAATGACATCTTTGAAATCAATCACTGTCCTCACCACTTCAGACAATGCGTTGAAAGCTCTTCGTAAGGCCACTTTAAAAACAAAACACGCAATTTTTGGAAAATTATTGTAGAACTAGAAATGGGTCATGCTTTGACTGCTCCCAAAGGAGTTACATATTTTTCCCATCATCTCTAACAGGAGACGTACAATTTGCAAAAACATCAAATGTAGCAGCATCGTTGTGGGGCTGCCATTGTTCTCTTCTGTATTCCTCATTATTGGCCAACAGACTTGTTCTTTCATATTTAAGCTTAACTTTTCATGCCTCTTACTGCTGATGACAAAAATGTTCAATAACATTAAAGCTGTTGAAAACTTAAAAGCTGTTTTCCTATCTTTTTTCAAAAGCGTGGTCTTTTAGTTTGAGAACATGACTTATTGATTTCACGTCCAGATTTTTAATGCTTTCCCCTCAACACGCTGGCCCTCGCACTCAAAAAGGTCAAACTGTGTGCTTGCACTCAGATATATTGTTGCTTGCACAGATTTTCTGTGCTCGCACTGACGCTGTTTCTGTGCGCTCGCAAATAAATTTTCTGCTCTGCTCTTGGATTTTTTGTGTGCAATGACCTGGAATTACCTTGTCGAAATCTACCAACCAACAGGATGCTAGCCCCGTTGCGGGCGTGTTCGCTTTACTTCTTGTACAGGTAGTTAATCTTTAACTGAGTTCATCCACTCCCTCCCTCTGTGGCTTTATTATAAATACTCCTCTTTAAATAAATAAAAACATATTGAGGCTTTTGTTCAGGTTTTTGCAACTGCCCTTTGAATCAGATGTTAGGTTTACGTGGTTGTAGAAACTTCTACAGTACTATAATACATCTACTGCAATATTATGTGTGATTTACAAGCATTAGGCAGTAAATTTTCCAGCCTCACTGTCAGTATACATTTACATTACAGTGTGGTCAGCATGCCACAATAAGTGTTGATCTTTGCGATCAGTAAGTAAAAAATATTTAGCTTAAACATCTGGTGCTACTATGACATGACCAGAGCACATGTTATATTCTTTTGTACAACAGTCCTTTTGTAAAATAGCTGCTGGGTTTGATCTGTTGTCTCTATGTAAGTCCTCTGTAAATTATTTAATAATACATATTCATTTTTTCCTCAGCAGTCATTAGCTTATTTTACAGACTATGTGGAAAAGTCTGAGAGTGACTTATGTAGTGACTCTTATGTAAATGTCTTCACCAGATGTTCAATATTTGTATTTCAAAAAAGGTATGAAAAAAGGTACAGACTCCTATAGGTATACCTATTTACACCGTTATCTTCTTCATATGTTTCCTTCTTGTCTTCTGCTTATAATAACAACAGAAGCAGTTCCATCTAAAAGAGTTCATTAAGAACTATTCCACTATGTGCACTCAGCTTTGATAGATATTTTATTACAGTTTTTCAATTTAAGGTGGTGAGAGAGACAATAAATCATTTTCTCACATTCCTTGACAGTAAAAAGCAGAAACCTGCAAAAATTATTCAGCACCAAACTCTCTGTACTTTACAAGGTTGTGTTTTCAATCCAGCAAGTGTCCAGTCAGTCTTTTTTTTTTCACATGTGCTTTTGATTGAAAGTAATGACTCTACCCTACCTTTGTTTGGATAAGGTTTCTATTTGCTGAAATATTGGATTCCTTTTTATCTCCACAGACACTGGAAAGGGTACATTCAGGGTGACTGGAGACTTCAGGTCTCCATGGAAAGAAGAGGTAGATACAGAAAGAAAGCGCTGCTCCAGGCCACCCACAGGCTCTGGAGTCTCCACCAAAAACTTGCTAATGAGAGAGTGACTGTCACTGGCTCTGCACTTTCCAGCGTGTGTCAGCAGAAAATACAAATGAAGGAGTTCACACAGACAGGTCTGACTGCCCATGAAGTTGCCAGCTAAATAAATATGCTAAACGATTCAGTGGAAGGCTTTGATTTTGTGCCCGTGTTGGCACGATGTAAATCATAAATGTAATTTGGGCTTGTATGGCTCATATCATTCACTGTGGCAGAGAAGGAAAGTATCCTCAAGCAAGCAGGCTTCATGACTTTATTACATGGACTTTTGCATCTGTGTGTGACGTCTTGGGTCAAACTCTCACTTATTGTGAGCTGATGAAAATGATGATGGCCATCAGTTTTATGATGATTATGGCACAAAGATGGCTTTTATTTGTCTCGTGCTTTTATCAATCTGTAAGTCTTCATTTAGCAAAACAGCAGATTCTCATCTTGAGCAAAGCCAGACTTATAGAAGGTCCTGAGGAAAAATTCTTAAACATATGAAAAAAGCTGAGTTGACCACAGGAAACATGTGGCTGGATGCTTGGCGACATTTTACCCCTCTGTCACAGGGTCTGTTGGTCATTCTCAAAGTTTTCTTCAGCCTGCATGGGACCCAAGGTTTAGGAATGTACTCTTGCCCTGTGATTATAGGGGAATTACAGCAGGAATATTGTTCTACAGGAAAGGGTGGAAGACATTAGTAAAGTAAAATAATTTACACACTGTCATATTGCATCTAAATGCATTCTACTTGTGGTGATGAGGTCTTTCTTTGTTAGCTCACATTTTAATAAAGCATATCTGTTTGTTTTTCCAGTGGTGGAAGACGTACTCAGATTGTTTACTTAAGTAACAGCACCAGTACAACAGTGTAAAAAAACTCCATTAAAGGCCCAGTGAGTAACATTTAGGTGGATCAGAAATAAAATATTCATAGGTATGTTTTCATTAATGTATAATCACCTGAAAAGTTAACTTAGAATGAGCTGTTTTTGCACACAGATTCTTTTTTACTGTTGTTAATATTGCAAGATAGATAAGTTGTAATACAGACAATATATAGTGGTGACACTTGCAGATTTGCATATCATAGAAGACTGGACTGTTGGCCTTGGTGGAGGTCTGCACTCTCAGAGTGTCCTTCTAGTTGTAAATAAACTGGGTTAAAACCAGTTTGACTGGTTGGTAGTGCACTGTAATTATGAGAAACTTGGGGCATACCAGAAACACTCACAGACCAATATGTAAATAGTAAAGTAGAATCATTTACCAGTCTGGTTTCTGATAAATGATGTAAACCATCATGGCAGTTAATGATTAACTTGAAAACGACAGGTGGGACATGGCCAGGACAACACAATGTCAAAATTAAAATGGAAAGATTGCTGAAAACTGTATTAATTCCCAAGGGAAAATTCTAGAACTATAAATTCGATTAAAATGTTTCTGCCCAAGCAAGCATTCATCTATCCAGTTAAAGACACTTGAAAACTTGAGGACAACAAAATGTAGGAGGAGGTGAAGCCCAATAGATCACACTGTTGCATGTTTAAACAATCTAGCAAGAAACAACACTTTTTCTTAACCTTGAACAATAAACATTTAATTACTGCCAAGTCACTAGTTGTATACAATACAAACATGGACCAAAAGCTGACCCAGGCTGTTTGTGATTTTCCTCGCCAAAAACAAGACCAAGACAAAAAACAAGCCTCCGTCTCTCCCCAAAGTCCTTAAGAGTAGCCATTCAATAGCCACATTACATTTATTCATATCATTTTATCTGATTTAATTTAAATGGTAAATTGACCTGTACTTGTATAGCGCCTTTCTAGTCTTTCTACCACTCAAAGTGCTTTACACTACGTGCCACACTCACCCCATTCAGATGAATACACATTAATACACTGATCTACACTGAATAAGTCTGTTTTTGAACGGGTCCAAAATGTTGGACCCTCTCTCTAATCATGAGGGGTCTTGTTCACACATGTAGAGTAAAAGGAAATGAGGTGCCTTTGGGTAAGGCCTTTAACCCCAACCTGCTCAGTGGCCAGTGGAGTGGTTGTACTGGGCAAATATCAGGTGTGAATGTGTGTGTAACTTGTCCAAATGTGATTAGGGGGTTCCTGCAAAAGAGGGGTTTCCTGTCAGTGAAACGTCCCTGAATAAATAAACCTGAGACAGACAGCCTGATTGGTTTCCTATCAACACCATACTGCACCAAGCTCTCAATCATCAGTCACTCATTTATAGTTACAGTAGGAGCTTTGGTAAGTGACCAAAAGAATGATGTCATGGATACAAAAATAGTTTGTTGGGTACCTGGGCTCACCCTGGGACAGGATGAGCAGCACAGATATGCTCCCTCCTGGACACTGTGGGGGTTTTCAGGGCACACTCAACAGTTAAGAGACTCCAGGGCAGACCCAGA